CGGGTCGAGGCTAAAGGATTGCGGGTTTTGGCTAAAGCTTGATGGGAAAAAGTGTAGTGACTCGCTTCAGTAATGTGTTATGGGCTAATTCAGTTCTTATTCTAGAACCATGCCGAGAAAAAAAGAAAATCTCAGGAGAACGTAATAATCTTTTTTTCTGGTGGTAGACAATGAAGAACGCCAAAGTCTTTTGTTTAGACAAGGCGACCACTACCTGTTCGCTTCACTCAGCAGTACGATGAGGATGAAAATCGGACCTTGCTGTACAGCAAACACTCGAAAAAATAGCTGTCTTGTTTAAATCAAGAACAGTTAAGAACAAAGTATCGCAATACGCTTCCGAATTCCGGTGTGCACGCTAGCTAGTTTCGGGAATAGTAGGGTTATGGCCATAAAGACAAATTGGGGTCAACTGTGTTTCTTGTTGTCATGATAAGTTTTGCAACAGATGACCCTGGATGTCTTGTGATCACTTGACCATTAGTTATCCGCTGTGTGATCGATTTCGCCAACCACTTTGGAATAGGCTCGGCAATCCGCAGTGAGATCAGACGGTTTGTTCCGCTACGTATGCGTCACCGCAACTGTAGTTGAATTGGTATACAATGTATGAAACAGAACCGGTTTGCCATCCATGTTTATGTTTCTCCAGATCGATTCCACGAGTAGAAGCAATGAAGCAAAGAAATGTGTAAATGTGGTCACCTTGGAACGCAATCTTTATGCAGTTGGTCAAAGGGGGACTAAATGTTTCAGTGTTGTCGATCTTGGGTAGATTTCCCGCCTATCGACCTTATAAAACTGTGCAATTTTGAACAGTACATCTACTGAGCACAGAAATGGCGAAAACCAGAATCTCAGTTTCATCGGGTAGATTGAGTTTTGCTGTATAAACATGCACAAACTTTCTCTATATCATACACATGTATGTGTCCATGCGCCAACTAAAACACAGATAGTGGTGACGTGTACTAGGGACAACAATTCATGTGTCCCGGAATTGATGGCTACATTGTACGTGCATTTTACGAGTAAACAGCGCATGTGACTTCGATCACTTCAGTTGTTCTGTCACACCAAATTCTTTGATCAGACACAACGAAGAGGGTCTGTGAGAACTGGTACCTCAAACTAGCTGGATCGCACAACTCGACTACGCGTCATCGAGACAAATCAGCACGTGACTGCACAGCAAACCTCTTGGTATGTGTCAGTATACACCACAAACAGAATGCCTTTCATCGGAGCACGAGCATTGTGCTCGTTTGGACGGACTGAAACGGGGCACGTTCGCGTCAGTCGTTTGGTCGAAAAAAATTGGCCCGCAGCACGGTATTAAAGTACATGTGAAGCACGTGAATTCGGAAGATGCAATGTGAACACAGGTAACAAACAGAGATGAAATAAGAGCACTTCAGTTTCAGTTTTTACAACCATTAACTATGTACTTTCGTGCACCGGTTTTGGTTGCTGTCTTTTAGCCGCTCACTTGGATAAAAAAGCAGAATGAAGATTGGAATGTTAAGCATTGCAGGCATCTATTTTTCGAACGAGAGAGTAAATAAACTATTGGTTCACTGTGGTTAAAACCAACATGTTGGTTTTAATCACATGGCAGGTACGAGAGAGAGAGAACAACTGGTATTCGGTCACTGTGTGGATAATAACCGACAGTCGCAACCCGGGTGCTATTGGGTATCGATGAGAGAATATCACACATCATGCGAAAAACATTGTGGATTCAGGCGCGCTTTGAGTTCCTATCGTGAGAGTCAATCGGGTATTCCCGGACTTCATTTTGGATGCTGTAAACCCAAAGGAAATGCATGGAACTTTAGCAGACCGTTAAAAAATGGAAATGTGATTGGCAAGCACGTCAAAACGAAGTGCGTTAAAATAATGGATCGTCTAGCTGGAACATGATGCTTCTGTGATCCGTGCGCATTTTTTCTGGCATTTTCTGACGAATTGTCAAGGTTGCCCAGGCCAGCATTCGTGATTGGCCGTTTGTTGCGAGCTTATTGCTGGACACGTGACCATTGGACCGATCGACAAGAGGGATCGGATTGTTCCTTTTGCGTTTCCTCACCATAGCACGAAACGGCAACTTATCACAAGCGAAGAAAGAGGCTATAATAGCATTCGGGCAGGTGCGCAATTAGTGTACGGTACAGTGCTGTGCTTGTGAGAATATCAAAAACGACGCATCGTCGTTTCATAACGAACATCGGTTCTTCTAGACCTGTCAGAAACGTGGACTCCTGACTGTTTTAACCCACAGGGTAAAGCATCGAAATAGTTGACCCACGTCAAAAAAATTAAACAATCGTAGAACAGTTAAAACGGGGCTGAAATAAATGATTTCTCCAAGAACTATACAGCAGACACTTCGACAAAAACTGCTTGCTGAGCTATAAGAAAAAAGGAACAGATGATTTCTTTACATCGGCGTCGAATTCAGCAATGGTCCGAAAACCAGAGATGGGATGGAGTCATATTTAGTGATTAGAAGAAGTCCAACCATAAAGAATCGGCTAAGTCAGATAACTAAAAGCATGACATCAGATGGAAAATTGATAAATAATGAAAGACGATCCTTTCTGTTGTTCCGCGGCTGATTTGAGTCAGCTGACAACCCTGGGAGGTAACCGAAATGTAACGGTCTGTATAAACCCACTCGAACGTTTTACTTTGCCATTCATCACAAAGAGCATGGGTGGATTAGCGTGTGTTTAACACAACCTCGCAATGCATACGACCTGCCGTATCACAATGGCACGTGAAACGCATATTTTGAAGTGGCACTCTTGCACCCAGACAGCCGATGTTTCACTTTTTCTCATTCACCGTGGTTTCTATGATTGCTGCATAAAGAATAGCCATTGGACAGAACTGGACAGAAACGCTTTACCGTTCCCCGAATTTTGGCATGCACTGTGCATCCACTACATCCCATCAGGAATCAAGTAGCCAACGTATGATCTTATCAGAGTACGACTCCGGAGACATTTGAATCAGTTCAGAATACAACGTAAAACGTCTTACCATTAAACTGAAAANAAAAGAAATGATAAAGATGAAGCTATATCAAAGAATGTGGCCGAATATATAAGATGATCGATATGCTAGTGCAGATTCAAAAAGAAACTCGAGCAATTCAGGCCAATAGTGCAGATCTTTCCGGAGCGGTGTGGAACAAATACTGTGAACCATTCAGAATACAGAGAATATATTTCACATGAGATTCATGTGTGGAGAAAAATACTGTTGTGATTAGAACCTTCAAGATGTAAAACGGCGGGAAAAGACTACAGGAAGGGGTAGCGACTTTTTGTGTGATATGCGAAATGCACATCATGGGAGTTAAGAAAATTTCCCCTTTGGAGATGAATTGTTTCTGAGTATCCGAAACAAGGCAAACGGATGTTGGAATGACGGTCACCAATGTGTTGAAGGGAAGTAGTAGTTCATTGTATGAATGGGAAAACTGATGCTGTAAGCTTCGAACGAACTTGTTTTACGACAGCCATCATATCTGAAACAATGAACTACCAATCTAGGAGCAATAATATTTCCGCTAGTCGGTCCAAGATTCATCGGAAATGAAACCGTAGCGAAAATGAGATCTGAAGACCTGCACGTTTGAGACCACTCCTGCATCAAAGTAGATTGCGAAAAAAGGAGAGAGAGAGAGAGAGAGAGCACAAAGCACGGTAACAGAGCTGATGATGAAGACAGAAAAAGCGACGGACACTCCATCAGTCGTAACGCGCACAGCGGGTGGGAAATTTAATGGATTGGAATAATATTGACTGTTTCAGAACTGAAACGAGTTGCAAGAAATGGAACATAAACCGAATAAGGTATTTCTACCATAAAAACATCATAAACCAAATTATGAGTATGTGTGTGTTGGTGAATGTAGAGCGAAAACTGAATAACTTACTCGTCCAATTTGACTACGGTAGGAAATGCATGTCGACTGGCGATATTTGTGTTCGTGGTCGTGGTCGCGGTCACGGGACTGATGTGATGTGTCTGTAATCGACATCCCAGATTTCAGCCACATTTTTGTTCGATGGGTTTTGCGAAACGATAACAGCAGTTTGTACGGGTAGGTATGGTTTAGGCAAGGGATGAGAAGAAAGGGAAGAACAGGAAATTGGGAAAACAGATTAGAGAAACAGGAACTAAGTTAGTTCAAAGTGACGCATCAGGCGTATCTGAAAAGGCATAATAGTATGCGAATGTTACGGTTTATCAACGATATTCCTTCAAAACACGCGCAACCGCGTAAACAATGTAACGATAAACAAAAGAGTCAGAAAAAGTGCATGTGCAATTTGATTATGCTTCTTTTGTTATTTGTTAGGAAACCCACCTATTGTTTGGTCAGGATGCTTACCCTAAACGAACGGGGTGGGTGAACACATCAATCGATCGATCGAATAGTACAGACGTAAATGGTGATCACGTGACGGGAAGAAGACAACCAAGAGGAGACAATACGATTAAACAAGACAACATTAGAACAATGCACTGAATGATCAGATGACACTAACCGTCGGAAAGAAGCACAACCGCGGTAGTTTAACACGATTCTGTTTGCAAACGCCAGCTGTTATGTGGTAAACTTGTAGAGAATTATCGGTGGAACGTACCGGCTAGTCATAGTGGGGAAGACATGCTGAAAACTGCATTCATTTTTTCGTCAACATCAGTTTATTATTAGGCTTTTCAATCAGATGTAGAAACTTATTTGGATATGGCATGGACTGATGCGAGGAATTAGATTCATCTAACCAAATACTTCTGCTTAATTCAATCCCCAATCTATACACGGCATAATCCGAATAACGGATTTTTCGTTAGAAGAAAAAAAGCTTGATCACCTGAATTTATTACCTAAGATTTACACCGAATTAAAAATACACCCAATGAGAAATACAAACCGTAAACAGAATACGACGGAAGTGACAGTCACTGTGTTCATTGGGTAAAAGACTACGTCAGGGACTGTGAGCACTCCGACTGTGGTTCGAATAAAGTCCGACGGGACAGCACCCTGACGCAGGGATGGCCTATCGGGCTGTGTGATCCGGTGAGATGAACAATATGGATTTTCAACTTG